AAATGATTGTGAAAAATTATGAGGAACTGTCGATAAGCAAACGCTGCAAAAATATGAGTTTTATAGCAGAAGGAAGAAAATTGAAATCTAGGCGTGAACTTGAAGGGGCACATCAAGTCTGGAGTACCTAGAAGTGATGTCAGTAAAGCCAAGTATATAACTCAATACAGTCAACTCCCGATAACTCGATAACTCGAATCTTCAAGAGAAATTGAAAAAGGTTTGAGTTATGTGGAGTTGAGAACAAGCGACTGGAAATAAGGAAAAAAAACGCTGTCTTTTTTTTTGTTTTAATTACAGAGAAGTCGAGTGAAAACGGTACGACACATTTCTAGATTACTGTACAATTCGAAACGTGTAAACGTAATGGGAAACAAAAGAAAGCAAATCAAAGCAGCAGGAGAAGTCTGAGTACTGCGAACTTTGCAGGTTTCACAGAGAATGACGTAGTTTCTTGGTTTCAAGCCGTACTAAACACAAGATAATTATAGCAGTCTACGAAGCGGCTGTCTCTATTAAAAAAAAGAAAACTTCAAAACTCACCGGGCCCAGGGGAATTCCCATATAAAAAGAATGTGGATGCTCGTTGGAAATTTGAAAAGAACCCCTAAAAGGTACCAAGATACTGTTTTGTGGGTGTGAGTTGATTTTTTTTCACTCCTAAGAGGCACCAATTGTAAAAAAAAATAAAGAAAAAATAAAAAAAAACAATAAATGTAATAACATACTGACACTTTCATAATTTTTAAGAGCGATAAAGACGATTACCTCGAATGCCTTCTACTCGTAAAGTTTATGAAAGCATTGTATAAATAAAATGTCTCACTGTATGGTCTCAAAACTTTTTGCCTGTTTAATTAACTCTTGCTCTCTGTTGTTCTCTTTCACGTTCTGTTTCAATCAAACCCTGTCTTGAAAACGTATTAATATCAACTCCGCTATTGTTTGTTGACATAACAATAGAGATGAGTTTTCTTTTCTTCAATAAAAAAACTTCTGTTTTCGGGAACAATCGTTTCGCTCAAAACAAATGCGGACGTGGGCGCAATTTCCCGC